GCTGGGGATTGAGCCTGCAACCCAGGCATGTGCCCTGACAGGGAATCGAACAGCGACCTCCTGGATCATAGGTTGATCCTCAACCGCTAAGCTACCCCCGGGAGGACAGAAATTATGATTTTTCAAGAGGAAGGGTTAAGTCCTGATTTTCAAATGTTGGCAAGTAATTAAAAAATATTTAGAACACTGTACAGGCCCAACAAATATACCTGTGGGCCAAGTTTGGCCCATGGGCCACCAGCTTACAGCACTGCCCTAGAGCTGGTTATAAGGAGACCACCTAGACCCTTCCTTCTAGAATAGAACATTAATTGTATAGCCTGACATGGTTATAAGTTCTTTAGGCAGTCTCCCAACCAACAACTTGGACCCTTCTACTGTCTTCAAGACTAATTTAATCCTACTATTCTACCCAAGGCTTACCCTGGATTCAGTGCAGATCTTTGGTTTTTCCCTAATTAAGACCTCATAGGTTTCTTCCAATTTGTGTCTCTTGAACCCAAGCTGCTCTTATTGCCAGCCCTGCCCAAGAGGACTCCCTCCATCACATCACAGTTCTGCTGGATGATCCATCAACCTAACTCTACGCCCTAAATTCCAAGAAGAAAAGTAAGCTGAACCCTAAAGCCTAGTCGGTTAGAATAGGACATAGTTTTATGACTTGTCCCAACCTCTGACAAGTTGCTCGCCCTCAGGCCTACATTATAGAAAAGCCTGGGTTTCTGGGACAGGAGATTTACAGGAATTCAGATTATGAGAAATCTGGGTACAGGTACATTTGAATAGGAGAAGCTATGAGATACCATGACTTTGCATTTCTAAGAGGTGAGGTTTTTCTTCAATCAAAAGATTGTGGTGTGGGGCCCTGGCCGGATGGCTTGGCTGGTCAAATTGTCATCCCGTACACCAAAAGGCTGAGGGTTCGATTCCCAATCATGGTACATAGCTAGGTTGTGGGTTCAACCTCTGGTCAGAGAGCATACTGGGTAACATATACAAAACACAAAACAGCCCTGGCCAGTGTGTCTCAGTTGGTTGAGCACCATCCCATGCACCAAGAGGTCACCAGTTTATTTCCAGTTAGGGTACATGCCTTCATTGCAGGAGGCAGCCAATCGATGTTTCTCTCTCTCCCTCTCCCTTCCTCTCTCTCTAAAAAAAGAACCCAAAACAGTTTCTTACTTTAGACACAGGGATTTCTTTTGTACAGAGTGGGGCAAACGTACATTTACAGCTGTTCGTATGGAAAATAATACAACTAATAAATAATAATATAAGAACAAACTCCGTTTCATGTACTCACAACTGTAAATCTACTTTTGCCCCACCCCGTATAATTCTATCCTAAGAAAATACTCAGAAACTCTGAAAATGATTTACACACAAGATTCCCACAGCAGCAGTATTAATGTTATGGAGCACTTACTATATGCCAGGCAGAGAAGTACTATACATGTATTGATTCATTTATTCCTCACAAAATCTTTTAGATAGGTACAATCAACATTCCCATTTTAGCCCGGCCAGCCATGGCTCAGTGGTTGAGCATCGACCTAGGATCCAGGAAATCGCAGTTCAATTCCCGGTCAAGGCACATGCCTGGGTTTCGGGCTCAGTCCCCAGTTGGGGACCTGCAGGAGGCAGCCAATCAATGACTCTCTCATCATTGATGTTTCTATATCTCTCTCTCCCTCTCCCTTCCTCTCTCTGAAATCAATATATATATATAAATTCCCAATTTACAAGTGAGAAAACAGAGGTGAGAGTTAACTAACTCCTCCAAAGTCAGCAGCTACTCAGTGGTAAAGCTGGAATCAAACTCACTCTGCATGAGAGCCTGTGATCTTAACGACTATACCACACTGCCAGTAAACTACTTACTGTGTCCCTAAACCATGTTTTCTAGGAATATTTAATTAAAAAAAAAAATTTCCAATTATAGTTTACATTCAATATTATGTTGTATTAGTTTCAGCTGTACAGCATAGCAGTTAGACAATCATATACTTTACAAAGTGTTTCCCCGATATTTCCAGTACCCACCTGGCACTATACATAGTTATTACAATGTTACTGACTATATTTCCTATGCTGTACTTTAGATCCCCATGACTATTTTATAACTACTAATCTGTACTTCTCAATCCCTTCACCTTTTTCACCCAGTCCCCCAACTCCCTGCCCACTAGAAATATTTGATTAAAGGGATCAAATATTAATTATTTTTAAAGCAGTATACAAACCACAAGGAGTATATCTTTTCAAGAAGTAATTTCACCAGTCATTTGGTCCTGAGATAAAGGGAAAGGATGGGGGTGGGAGAAGTTTGAATCTGCTTGTGGCTTTTGGTGCCTCACATTCCTTCCACTCTTGGCTGTCTCTGAGTTCTGTTCCCCAGTCTATGTGACAGGCTGGTGCATGTCTTATATTTGTCTTGCAGTTGAGCTCAAGGGTACTTTTTTTTTTTTGAGAGAGAGAAAGAAGGGAGAGGGATAGAGAGATAGAAACATCAATTGGCTGCCTCCTGCATGCCCCCCCATTGGGGACGGAGCGCAAAACCCAGGCATGTCCTCTGACCAGGAATCGAACCAGTGATACCTCGGTTTATGGGTTGAGGCTCAATTATCGAGCCACACTGGCCGGGCACTTTTTTTTAAATTTGTTTTTATTGACTTTAGAGAGAGAAAGGAGAGGGAGAGGAACATCAATGAGAGAGCAAAACATCGACTGGCTGCCTCCTGCACATCCCCTTCTGGGAGGCAAACCCACAATCCAGGCCTGTTCCCTGACCGAGAATCGAACCTGCAACACTTCAGTGCTCGGGACGAAGCTCAACCAACTGAGCCACACCAGCCAGGGCTCAAGGGTACTTTTTAAAAATGATAAATATGCACAGGAAAAAAATACTGGAAGGTTTTTCACATAAATAGAATAGTTGTCTGGGAGGTAAACTCATGGGTGATTTTAATTCTCTTTTTTTTCCTTCTAACTTTTGCATTTTTCAAACTGACTATAAAGTCTATGTATTACCTTTTAATTTAAAAGACACACACACACTACTTTAAAAATGTTTCCTGCCCAGCCGGCGTGGCTCAGCGGCTGAGCATTGACTTTATGATACAGGAGATCAAGGTTCGATTCCCGGTCAGGGCACATGCCCTGGCTACGGGCTCAGTTCCCAGTGGGGGGGGACGTACAGGAGACGGCCGATCAATGACTCTGTCTCATCACTGATGTTTCTCCCTCCCTCTCTCTCCCTCTCCCTTCCTCTCTCTGAAATCAATAAAAATATATATTTTAAAAAATAATAAAAATTAAAAAAATAAAAATGTTTCTTCTTCCTTGGCCAGTTTGCTCAGTGGTTAGAGTGTCACTTTGTGGACCAAAGGGTCTCGTGTTCAGTTCCTGGTCAAGGGCATGTACCTCATACCTCAGTTGCAGGCTCAATCCCTGGCCCCGGTCAGGGAGTGTGCAGGAGGCAACCAATCCTTGTGTCTCTCTCATATCGATGTTTCTCTTTCTCTCTCCTCTTTCCCTCTACTCTCTAAAAAAAAAAAAAAAATCAATGAAAAAAATATCTTCAGGTGAGGATTAAAAAAAAATGTTTCTTCTGAAGAACATTCCACAAAAAGGGGAAAAACCCATGGTATACTAAGTTTAGAAAGCAGAGTATAAAGTTATATGCAAAGTATGATGCCAATTCTATGAAAGAGAAATGAAGACACAATTGAACTATTAAAAGTCCTCATCTCTTGATGGTAGATTAAGGGTGGTTTGAGCTAAGTTCATTTTCTCCTTGATGAACATGCTTTATAATCAGAAAACCATTCCTTTTTTTAGAGAGTTCAGTCAGGCCACAGTCCCCCTGGCCAAACCCTATCAGATATACAACTGAGTACCCACCCTCCCTCCTCCCAGGGCTATCTGTGGAGGGGTTCCCTTTAACATTTGTCTTTAACAAATTCCTTGAAGTTAGGAGGCACAGTGTACTGTACAATCCCTTACTGCTAACTCTCCGGTGCTCTCAGTCTATTTTTAACACTGTGGATAAATTACATATACTGCCAAAGCTTTTGCAAGCAGAGATATGGAAAGAACAGAGTATAATTAAGTGCCTCTGGCAACACAGTGCTAAGGAACACAGGGAATTCTGGGCCACTTCTCAACTAAATAAAACACGAGCTCTGCATGACTGGGTAAATTCACAGTAATCTCTCTCCCTTTCAGTGACTTCACACAGAATCCCTCCTTACCACCTTATAAGAAAACAATGAAAATAAAAAGGGATCCACTGGGATCTCTTAGGTTCTGTCCTCAGAAACCCAAATACAGGGTAGAAGCCACTCACCTGCCTCTCACTGCCCCCAGGAAAGCTTGTTTACAAAGTCAATGTAAAGAGATCTGAAGCACCAATGAGAAAAAGACATTTTGGTGTGGTGCCTGTTGCTTAGAACAAGCTATGGAGTGAGAATGGCAGGAAGAAGTGGCCCTGTGGTTCTGAGGGATAACGTTAGGCTTGGGACCCCCACAACCTAGAGAAGCCGATTTTCTCATTGATGCCTTAAAACTGATTTAAGATAAAAGCTGGGAAGCAAAATAACATTTTTTTTTTTTTGAACAGCATAATAAAGGCCTCAGCACTTATGTTTTTTTCCTGGGTTAAGTTATAACTAGGGACGATGATTCCAATCAAAACACCTGCAAGACAAATATAAGACATGCGTCAACCTGTCACATAAACTGGGGAACAGACCTCAGGGACAGCCAAGAGTGGAAATAATGTGAGGCACCAAAAACCACAAGCAGATTCAAACTTCTCCCACCCCCATCCTTTATCCTTATCTCAGGACCAAATGACTTTGGTGAAATTACTTCTTGAAAAGATATACCTCTTTTCCCCCCCAAAAAGCAAAACATGCTGTTCAATATAAAGAACTATTAGCATTATTAAAGTAACCCTCACCCCCACAAATACTCCCCCACTAAGCCCCCAGACTTACATATGCAAGCAGCAGCGAGGAGACGGCAGGCCAGGTATGGGGGATCACAGGTAGGAAAAGAGGGCTGGATGATGTAGTTGGCGAAGGTGATGGCGATGATGGCCTGACTGGTGGGCTCAACAATTAGCAGGGAGGCCCACAAACGGATGAAGGCAATGAAGCCCCCAAAGGCCTCTAGAATATAAGCATAGCTGGCCCCAGACTTGGTGATGGTGGTCCCCAGTTCTGCATAGCAAAGGGCACCCACAACGGAGAAAAGTCCGCCAATAGCCCATATGACCAGCGACAACCCATAGGAAGCTGTGTGTACCAGAACGCCCTTGGGTGAGACAAAGATTCCTGAGCCAATCATGTTGCCTACCACCAGGCTGACCCCATTCAGCAGAGAGATCTCCTTCTTCAGCTGCATAGTTTCTGTGGTCCCCTGAGGTGGCACGCTGTCATCTTCCTCCCTGGGCTGGCTGGCCTCAGGAATGAAATGATATGTGGACGCTGGGCTCTCCAGCTCCTTGGCTTCCATGGCAAACGGTTCCTTCACACCTGTGTTTACTACAGCCTGGCAAAGAACATAAGTATGTCACTCTAAGGCAGGAGCTGGTGAGGCTCTAGTTTAGACATGCAAGGCAGGCAGATTTCCCTGCCTACCTCTTATGTGGGAACAGCATGCCTCACACACAGACCTAAAACCAATGAGCCTGTCTCAGTTTCCACCACAGGACTCAGGGAAATGGAGGTAGAGCTCCACTGCTCCCAAAAAAGACACCGTAAGAGCTCAGGCACAATATGAAGGTGACTTCCAACAAGTACCTGGCTTGATGCCCAGGGTATGCTGGCATTAGGTTTATCCATAGCACAGATTCTCCTTGATTTGTAGTTTCTGCTCTGTTCTTACCAGCATAAAACCTGCTAACCTGCCCTGCAGAGAAGACCACAGTCCCAGTACCAGATTCACAGCCCTAGCCAGCCTGAAAGGATACCCAGGTAATCCTGCACATTCACCTCCACCCAAACATGGGGTCAGTTCTTTAAGGGCACGGAGATAACTTCCAGGGATAAGAATGGAATAACAAACAAAAAAAGAATGGAATCAGTACATCAACTTCCCAGAAGCCTCTCATCTGCTCCACAAAAATGGATGTGCCAAAACCTTGCCTCACTGAGCTCAGCGCAAGGAAATCAGAGTTCCTCAAGAGTGAGCAGTTCTCAGGGAAAACTCCAATCTCCACCACCTCACCCAAAACACCTGCCTTACCTGTCCCCGTCCCCTTCCAGAGTACAGACCAGAGCCCAAGTGAAAAAAGCTCCTCTGGGGCACTAGTAAGCCTTCCCTCAGTCCCAGAGGAGTTGAGCCAGCCTACCTCTGCTGAGGTGAGGCCTGCTGTAAGGAGGCACCACTTTCACTCCTGGCACCAAGCCCACAGGTTTCCCTACGCAGGCACACAGGAACATATTTGTTTTCACGTGTCTGTCAGGTGAGTCCAGGCATCCATGAAAACAGAACAAGGAAACTGCTGAGGAGCCTATATTCTCACAAGTCAGGCACAGAGACCTCCTATTCCATCAGACCCTAGCTGGGGGGGGGGAGCCAGGTATTTTTTTGGGCTTCTGACACCAGATGTGTGGATTTTCTACACATCAAGCAATTCTGCAACACCAGCTGGGTGTCCTACAATTTAACTCAATTCTGACTCACTCTACCCAGGGATAGTAACACTCAGTTCCACAAAACTGCCCCCTACCACCACTTCAGATGGCAATTGCAAGTCCAGTGCTTTAGACTGACTGGCTATAAATTAGAGGTTCCTAGAGCTCCCTCCTTGAGTTCAATTAATTTGCTAGAGCAGCTCAGAGAATTCAGGAAAACTTATTCGATTACCAGTTTATTGTAAAAGGTTGTAACTCTGGAACAGCCAGATGGAAAAGATGTATAGAGCAAGCTACGTGGAAAGGGGCATCGAGTTTTCATGCTTTCTCTGGGTACACCTCTCTCCCAGCACCTCCACATGTTCATCAACCCAGGAATTCTCCAAACCCCATCCTTTTGGATTTTTTATGGAGGCTTCATTACAAAGCCTCCATAATGATCAAATCATTGACCACTGGTGATTGATTCAACCTCCAGCTCCTCTCCCCTCCCCAGAGGCTGGAATTAGTCTGAAAGTTCCAACTCTAATCACAGGGTTGGTTTCCTGGCAACTAGCCCCCATCCTAAGAGGATTAGATGCTTTCCAAAAATCACCTGATTAACTTAAACTCGGGTGTGCTGAAAGGAGCTTGTAATATAAGTAACAGAAGATATCCATTTTCCTTTTATTTTTGTTGCTTTGGAGTTATTTCAGAACAAAAACCAAATATTAAAACAAAACTTCCCCGATGACTCTTATGTAGGAAATCACAGGAGATGTGTGCCAGAAACAGTAGACAAAGACCAAATATATATTTAATTATAACATCACAGAGGAAAAAAGAGATGTAAGCTCATTTCACAGGAAAATAAAACCTAGTATAAAATGGGATTTCCTCAACTTCAGACTTCCGTGATGTAGAAAGCTGGGAAAAGCATTACTCCCACTCCTATAACCAGGAAAAGTGAAAAAATCTACAAAACCATAAGTCTTCTGGAAGCCATCAGAGAACTAAGGTTACAGGACCAACCAGACTGAAATTTAAGGAAAAATAAGAACCTCCAAGGAGAGATGCAAGCTCTGGCTCACCTGTGGCAGTGGGAGAATGATGGAATGAAAATCAGGGAAGCAAGAAGAGCTCAGGCACAATCTTTAATGAATTACTAAAGGTCAACTGTGGGTTAGCAAGAGCCATAGACAGAGGTTTTTCTCCACAGGCCTCAGTGGACGCTCATAAGAAATATTAGACAGGAGACCAGAAAAATCCACATACACCCAGACCCAGGAAGACAGTTATTAAGGCTGAACCAAAACAATTTTAGCAAGTACCCAATAGTGGGACTATTGACTCTCATGGTAGACTGCACCTTGAGGCATAGGTGCAGAAAGGTCAAAAGCTAAAAATGGAGCATAAACAGAAAATACCCTCTCTCCAGCAAACCAACCCTAAGCTGCAGGAAGCCTTTGGTGCAACAAAACTCAAACATAACTCACCTCCTGACTCAAACTTTCACATTAACAGCCTAGTAAAAGAAGAGGCGTACCTATTTCCCAGAATTAATGCTATGTACCTTGGTTTCTACTATGCCATATACTACGTCTGGCAATCAATTACAAATTACAAGCAACACAAAAGAGCAAGAAAAACAACCCACTTTATCAAGAGGCAAAGTAATCAATAGGATAAGACTTAGAGATGACCCAGATGTTGAAATTGCAGGGAATTTAAAATAACTATGATTATGTGAAAAATAATATAAACAAAGTCACTTTAACATGTAGTAGGAGCTCCCATCCCAGAGGAACTGCCTTGCACATCTTACTTCTCATACCTTTGGAATGTTAAGACTGGGTAAAATAACCTTTGGACTGGGCCTGCAATTTAAAGACATTCTTTACAATTAGCATTCATTACTATGTCAGCTTATCTCACCTATAGAAATTCCTCCCTTAGCTTATTAACACCCATAAAAATTCCCTCCTTTTCATGTCTTTATTCCCCTTCCCTCTCTCATAAATACCTCTTTGTCTTCACCTCCTAATCTTCTCTACCTGAATCAGTGCGATTGTTTTAGATCTCAAATGCTTGTTGCCTCTTACACTGGCCTTTTATTTTTAGGTTAACAATTAATACATTAAATGATCTCATGGAAAAGTTGGACAGCATTCAGGAACATGTGGAATTTCAGCAGAGAAATGAAAACTGTAAGAGTTAAAATGGGGAAAAGTGAAAAAATAAAACAGAATAGAGCCTCCAAGAGTTGTAGGAAAATATCAATTGGTCTGAGGTAAATATTTTTAAAATATTTTTTTGTTTATTTTTAATTGCTTTAGAATATAATTGACTGCCTAAAGCAGAAATAGTAGCAATGCACTGTGGATTTATAGTGCATGTAAAAGTAAAATATATGCATCAATAAAGAGATAGGAAGGAAGAATTGAGAGTTATACTATTGGTAGGTTTTTATATGTGAAATTATGCAATATTACTTAAAGTACACTGTGGTTAATTAAAGATGTAAATTGTAAAACTAAGGCAACCAATAAAAAAATAAAAGAAGAGGTATATATAATAAGCCAACAGTAGAGATAAAACAGATCATAAAAAAAAATACTCAATCCAAAAGTAGGCAGAAAAAAGAAACCAAAAAACACATGGAAAAAAATAGAAAACAGAAAACAACTAGCAAGACAGTAGGTTCTAATCCAAACATATCAAAAATAACATAAAATGTAAATGATATAAACATACCAATTAAAAGATAGACATTGATAGAGTACCTAAAAATACAAAACCCAATATGCAGTCTACAGGAAGCCCACTTTTTAAAAAAAGACACAAGTAAGTTACAAGTAAAAAGATGGGGGGAAAAATAAACCATATAAATGATAATCAAAGAAAGGCGGAGCAGCTACATTAACATAAGACAAAACATACTTCAGAATAATAAATATTGCTAAGGATAAAGAGGGGTATTACATAATGATAAAAAGATCAATTCACCAAGAAGTCAATTCTAAATGTATATTTCCCCCAACAACACAGCTTCAAAATACATGAAACAAAAACTGATAGATCTGAATGAAGAAATAGACAAATACACAATTATAGTTGGAGACTTCAACACACCTCTCTCAGTCATCAATAGGGCAAGTACACATAAAATCAGCAAGGATCCATAAGACCTGAAAATGGAATGCCCCAACATAGTTCGTGTCTAAGTAGTTATGTGAATTCTAAGAAAAATAAAATTGGCATCTGCAATAGGACTTACCTCAGATGCAGGAGATGGGGGCAAGTCAGGGGTGGTAGACAGACTTCCAACAGGGAAGAAAGCAACAGCTTTGGCTCCTACTATCTACTCAGCATCAGAGCTGTTAGGAACCCTCCCCTCCCTCAGGTACTGTCTGAGGACTTTAGGACCAATTCCAACCTTCTTAGCAGGGCCTTAACCCCTGAGGCATACAGTCCCACCGACAATCCAGTCACACCGAATTACTTGCAGTTTCCTAAATCCTGGATCCTACCAGGCAAACACATCTTTGTTCATACTGAGCACTCTGCCTCTAACACTCTTCTTCTCCCAGCTTTTCCTCAATATCCTGGCTGCCATCCTTCTCTATATATCTCCTTATATCCCTGAAGTTTCTAGTACATGCCTCTGCCTTAGCAGCCACCTCACTCTGTTGTTGCATTTACTTAGCTTCAGTCTCTCCCAACTAGTTTGTGAGTTCCTTGTCTGTTTCAGCAGCACCGAATACAAGGCCTAGGACAGGATCTGTACTCAGTCCATGATCATTGAATAAAAATATAGCAAAAATAGAAAATACCCAGAACAGAAAATACACAACAAACCCTACTGAAAATTCTAACACCTTGAGCCACCTGGTCCCCAGAACAATAGCAATAAACGCTTAACTAAGGAGAAGTGATCATTCAGAAAAGCCAGTCTAAGAGAGTGAGTGGTTCCTATCATTTTGTCACAGCACATGTACTGTGTGAGATTACCGCGTGAGATGCATTGTTAATCCTTGTCCCCACAGAGAAGACTTGCAGACCTTCTGCAACAATGGGATGAAAATCACTGATACAAAGAGTTCATAATTAACCCACTATCTTTAGGTAAGTAGCCTGGTTATTTGTGGGGAGGGAGGATGCAATAAAATTCTACCAGATCATCTCTGAATTGGTTATCCTTTTGCCTTCAATTTTTATTCAGTTGATAAAAGAAATTGGTATGTGAAGATCACACACACTAATCAGTCTCGCACTCTCTTAATATAGTCTTTAAAACCACTGTTGAAGAAAATTTCCATTAAATCATTTAGTGCACCCTTTAGTTCCTATCTTGAAAAAAACAGTATTAAACCCCACTTGTAAGGACACAATGCAGCTTTCTAGCAGGTTTTCATACTATTTTCCCAGCTCCTGCAGCAGATAATAAAGGAATTCGCCAGACCACTAAAATTTCCTTATGAAAATTTAACCATAAAACAATCATATGCAATTTTCAGGGTGGGGGGAGGCGCTTTGAAAGTTCAATTACAAATAATATTTTAGGAGCTGGAGTTAAAAACTCTTATAATTGATGCCTATGGGGGAAAAAATGCTGTTGAGAAATATAGCAAAATCTTAACTCTGGTAAAAACACAGGCGACTTTTTCTTTTTTAAACTTCTCTGAGTTTTATGAATTTTCCACAATGAGTATGCATTAATTTTTTAACACTTAAACTTTTAAAAAATATATTTATTGTACTTCCATCAAATAACAAAAAATATGTGACTCTACTTTCACCTTTTTACATGGGATACCAGGAAACTCAAAATCAAATTCAGCTCCAATCTCAGTGAATAAATACCCTTACTTTTCAACGGTATTTGCTATCTAGTCTTTTCCATGGCTTTGGTTTCTATTTCTTTTTAACAACCTCATTGCAAGACCTTTCATTATAAACCACCACAATAACTCTTTAGAAAGAAATATAATGTGTTATATACTTTACTTACATAATAGTCTCTTTACTAGTATTGTGTTCATATTATACACAAATAACTAAAACTCTTTCCAAATCTCAAAGATCCAAGAAAGTTTAATAGAGAACAGAGCAATAATATTCACCTGTGAGAAACAAGTAACCATCACAGTTTCATTAGCCGCCTCATCATAAATGAAGAAAATAAAGTCTCCATACCAAGGCCTAATTCCACTTGTCTGTCTTGGCCATTTAATCTCTGCAACAAAGAGTAAGAGGTAATTTATCAAAAAATGAACCTAGCAAGCAGCAGTCCATATTTCCCTTTGTAAAAAAAACAACTAAGTTTTACATGCCCAACAGCAGCAGCACTCAATTATAAGAGGTTCCATCACACCCACAGCAGGGGTGCAACTAAAGCAACCAGACCAAACATGTCAGAGAACTAGCCTGGTCATCCCAAATCATTCATGTCTAGAAAGCTGCTACTTCCCAAGTACCCAGAATACCATTTATGTCACTTTCGTAGAAACTATTTACATTTGGAGACTACAGCAGGAAGCACAGAGGACAGGAAATTTCCTGTACCAAGAAGTGCCAGGGAGGTTGGTCATATAACTGGTATTTATTTTTGATTTGCCATAAAAGTACATCCACAGCCAGATAAGGAAAGAGGAAGATAGGAGAAAATCAGGCTTGTAGGTTTCCACATATTTGTCAAGAAAGGAAGCTCCGATATAAGAACATAAAACACAGTCAGTCTGAGACCAAAGTCAGGAAGTAAAAACCATTAGTACAGAAGGGGACCTGAGAAATGGGGGCAGACTGGAAAGGGCCTCACAGCAAGTAAAGAGAGGTGAAAACAACCTTAAAAGGCACTCAGGCTTTCAAAAGTCTGCCCCTCCCATATTTTCAAATTAGAAAACAGCTTTCAGAGATAAGCCCCAGATGGCTCAACATTCTGCTACCCCAGGTGCTAGATTCGCTGGCAGTGATTCTTTTGCCCATCAAGGGCAGAGACGAGATTCTTTTTAACCATGCCACCAAGCACACAGCCCAGTGCACACAAGAGGTACTCAAAAACATCTGTTAAATTACATACTTATTCCTACTTATAATGACCATTACACAAAGCAGTGCCCAGACTGTTTGCTTAGTGCTTAGTGAAGAATTTTCGTAATGTTTCACAAATATCTCCTTCCCTATGACATGAGATGCTCAAACAGGATGTCAGGACGTGGAGGCACTAAAAAGAGCCCTAATAACAGGAGCACCCCTTCCCCAGCCCCAGTACGCCAGCACTCTAAGCCCGACACGAGGCCATCCCACAGCATCCGCAGGAAGCTGTTGCTGCCTTCCCACCCTCAGCCTTGTGCCCTCGGTCTTTCGCACTTGGTCTCTCCCACAGCACAGGTCCTCTTTCCTACCAGCAGCCTCACACCAGAGCACTTCACAGTGTCCCGTCAGGACCACCCTCACCACAGTCTCTCTCCCACTCACGGAGTCACCCTCAGACTCAGGGTGTCACCCACACGCGCACTCTCCTCTCTCACACACACACGTGGAATCTTTCTCACACTCAGTCTTACACTCAGGGTCTCCTACACTCCTGAGTCAACTCCAGCTGGAGGTCCCTCTTACACGCAGTGTCACGCTCTCACCCGCAGCGTCTCACGTGGCCCGGCCCACCCGCCGCACGCC